TCTTCGTCCCTACTCTGTCCTTAGTTACTTCCCTTATATCAAAGAAGTCATTTGGCATTTGTTTTTTAAGGATTGGCTAGCTTCACTTAGCATAATCTGCTATGCTCTATGCTATGCTCTATTCTTTGCGTTTCTTTCTGTGTTGGTGTTTATAGGCTCGCTGCTACCGCATTCACACAACCTACCTCTCTCAAAGTTACTTTGAAGGTGCAGAAACAGTGTTTTGGGAAGGGAATTCTGGAATCTTTCCCCAAACTGGGAATCTATGTAGCTATATTTGGAACCACGTTAGAGCCTAAATAGTTAAGTTCCTTGAGGATGTTCCTTGCTGAATTTTTGGGAAGGATCCAAAAAGGGTCTTGGGAGATAATCAAATTAACCTTTTAAATCCTATGCAGGAAACCAAGGCCCAGAGATAAGAACTGCTCTAAGAAATATCCATGATGTGCCTCCCCTCCTTTACCCAAAGGACTCCTCTACATCTTCCCCACACCATRTTTTGGATCTCCAGAAGGGCAGCTGAGGGTGGGCAAGGGAGTCAGTAACCCCTGGAACCACTCTTAGCCTCTTCTGTGGGCCCAGATGGGGAGGAGGCCTTCTAGTAAGAGAGTGAGGAAGAGAGGGAGGGCAAGAGGAAGGAAGGGGAGCCAGAGGTGGGAGTGGAAGAGGCAGCCTCGCCAGGGCTGATTGGCTCCGGAGGCCAGCCCTCTCCATGCGGTTTATAAGAGTTGGGGCTGCCCAGGGCGCCCTGCCGGTTCTCCGCGATCCAGGAGCCACCGCCGGGCTCCCAGAGTGCGCTCCACGTTGAGGTCCCGCTTGGCCCCGAGCCTGCTTCKAGGCTGCCTTTGGAGTTGGCGGTGGGCAGAAGAGAAAGGGAGGGAGCGGTAAAGGGAGGACAGCGCCCGAGAGAGCGGGCCGAGCGCCATGCGCCGTGCCAGCCGAGACTACACCAAGTACCTGCGCGGCTCCGAGGAGATGGGCAGCGGCGGCTCCGGCGCCCCGCACGAGGGCCCACTGCACGCCCCGTCGCCGCCCGCACCCGCTGCGTCGCACTCGCCTCCTGCGGCCTCACGCTCCATGTTCGTGGCTCTCTTGGGGCTGGGATTGGGCCAGGTGGTCTGCAGCGTCGCTCTGTTCCTTTACTTCAGAGCTCAGGTGAGTGACGCCTTCCCCAGGTGCGCGTGGTTGGCGCCGTCACCTTTTCCGTCCAGCAGTGGAGGGAAACTGAGTCCGGCGACCAGGCTCGGTTCCCCTGATCTTGCCACTTCAGGAGGGAAAAGTGACTCCAAGAGAGGGAGGGTGGCTAAAGACCGCGGGCGCACCTGCCCGATTCTCCTAATCCATACCCCTGTCCTGCAGCGCGCAGAGGCTGCACGTGTCGGGCCAGATGTTGGGTTTGAATCCCCCCCGGAAATAACATGGGCCGCTCACCTCTCCTGGAAGTCATTGCACACTTTCTCTCCCTTCCATTTCTCACTTGGAGTTAAGGATCAACTTGAGTCCACTTAAGGGGGGGAAATGAGCGCCTTCAGGTGGGCATTGACCTTTTCGCTTCCCGCCCACCACCCAGTTCCTGGGATTGGTTGCTTTGCAGGTATCCTCCGGCCCCAGTGCTGGAGGGCCGCGAGGTGCCCTCAGCCTTTGAAGTCCTGGGGGCGAAGCCCAGTGCATGAGATGGGCTGAATGACGGCGATGTTGGAGTAGCCTAGACAGGAGCTGTGCTGCTGCCTCGCTGTCCTGTGGGGCTCAGCTCTAAGGGGCGAAGGAAGAGGGACAGCCCCACGTGCCTGACAGTGAGGTGGGCGGAGGAAGGAAGCAAGGTATGTGTGCTGGCACAGCCTCGCTTCAATCTAGCGGCTAACCAACCTTCGAAAAGATGAAGAGGCTGTGCAGGAGGGCTTAGAACTGCAGGGAGATAGTAGAAAGGAAGGGGTAAATTTGTAATATTATGCTTTCTGGTGGTTTATGCTCTTGTGTTTTCTTGGAAATTGCAGTGCAGTTGGTTGGATTCATTCAAATATTCTTGTCTAGTGCTGTGAACTCTTTCTCAGAGGAAGTGGAGGGCTGACTGTGCATTTTTTTTTATGGGAAAAGAAAGTTGGGTTTGGACTTGATTGGTTTTCAGACTCAAAGGTGATTACTAAACCAAATTGAATGCATCAAAACAATGCATGGCTTGGATTGCATGGGTTTTTGACCTTGAACTCCCACTTTCATTCACAGGTTTTCTGATAAGCATTCATTATTCATTAGTATGCATTTTATAGCACCAGTGTAATTATGTATGAAAACAAAAATAGAAATGCTATGAACAATCCTTCAGAAAATTTGTAATTTCATGTTAATAAACATAATTTTTCCCTGGTGAGAACTTTTTTCTAAAACACAATTTTTGGAGTGGTTTGCTTGTGACATGGATTACACAAATCCATATGAAAGTGACAACTTTTTAAACYTCATTGGAATGCTTTGCAGTCAAGTATGAATGGTTTGGGGGCTGGGGTTGTGGCTCTGTGATAGAGTGCTTGACTAGCACATTGAAGCACTGGGTTCTATTCTCAGCACCACATAAAAATAAATAAATAAATAAAGGTAAAAACAAATGAATGGTTTATCCATTTTTCCCATCCTGAATTTTGTTAACAACCTTCATTTAATGCTTGTGTATTGAGAGCCTAAATTGTGCTATGGAATGTGACTTCAGAATCAATTATTTCAATACACAATGTCTATTTACTATATGCATGGTGCCATATACCAGAGGATATCTCCAATAATGATACTACCCTTCTCTTATCTTTTTTACCACCTTAGGGACATGGCATTTCCCCAGCTGAAATAGTGAAGCAAGTGTTCAACATAGAGCAGTGGGCAAGGGATGAATTCTAGGGACCATGATGGAAATTGGCTTGGTTCTGTAGAAAAGAGTGACCAGCTGAGTTCTTGTTCCAGTTGTTCAGCTTTCACAAAGGAATTCCAGTAATGGAGTGGGCTGAGAGATCTGTCCTGATGGTCACCTATCATCCTCTGGATAGCACAGGAATAACAGCAGAACATTCAAAAACCTTTCCCCAAAGCACAACTGTGAGTTAGTAAGCTTAGCTCTAAGTTTTTCTTTAGGAGACTTTAATGTCATCAGATTTCTGAGTACACTTTCCCTAACTGCCAAGAAGATTGGGTTTCTCTTAAGACTTATGAAAACATTTTAGTTATTATTCTGCACCCAATTCTGCACTACATTTTTAAAAGGTCATCTCCTTTTGTAAAGAACTGGTATTAGAAGTAAGGTGTTCATATGAATACACCATCAGCTCTCATAGCATTTTATTGAGTTTAGTGTCTACATTTGATTCCTAAAGAAATCCTAATCATTTAGGAAAAGGTTCTGAAATAGTGACAAATGAAATGCTTGGTGTCTGGAATTTATTTCAAAATAATTGATGGTGAGGGGAGGTAGCAAAGTAAATAGAATAAGATTGGCCATGTGTTGTAATTGTAGTAGCTGGGTTATGGGTAAATAGGGGTTGATCTACAGTTTTTTTCCCCACTTTTATTTATTTTGAAGGTCTTCTTTCACAGTTCTGGCTAAGAAACAAAATGTTGTCACTGACAACGTTTTTGCTTTTATTGGGTCCTTTGAATCAGAACTTGGTGCCAAATTACAAAAGTTTTTTGAAAGCTGTGGACCAAGTACTCGGGATTTCTGAATTCATCTGAAGAAAATGACATCATCTAGTATCAGGGAATATGTTTATAGACTGCAGTTAAAAATGATAAAGGAATCCAATTTTATTGTTTTAGTATAAAGGTAGGAGAAAGAAGTTATGCAAACTCTTAAGAAACAAACAAGTTTTTTTTAAAGCTTTAGATGCATTTAGAAAGATGCTCAGAGAAGTATAAAAATTAGCAACTTTGAAAATTTTTTTCCCATTCTCAGTTCATGTTTCAATAGTTAACAATGAATTTGTCCCTCTGACTGTTTTATATTGCTTATGCCTAGTTTATCTTGTTTTAAATATATGTACTAGATCCAATGTAGATTGGCTTTTCCCCTACCAACCTTGCCAAAGAGAAAATAGCATGTGGTTTGTGCTATATATTTAACACATAGTATTCATACTTTGGTTTACAAAGAAAATATCTTCTAAAATGTTGCTTGTAATATTTGTGCATTTTTTAAAACATTCACATAACAAATTCAAAGTTTAGAGTTTAGCTGTAAGATAAGTTTTTCAGAAAACTCAAGCTCCTTSGCCCTTTTAACTCCTCCCCTCAACTTCTCAAAATGCGCATACCAACCTCTTTGGCTGCTTTTTACCCAGGACAAACCTCCCCGATGAAAATCTGATGTGGAGATGTGCTAGTTGCCTGTTTGGGAAAAAAAAAAAAAAAGATAACAAAGTAGCACAAATGTCAAGCATCCTGCCTCATTGAACCCAACAAATGATTAAGTTTCAAAGAAGTTTATATTTTAAAAAGTTTGTTTCACAGGTACCATTTCATCTGATAAGTGCATTTTAAAACTCCTTTTTAAAATCAGATATTCAAGATTTAGTGTTTTCAGACATGCCTAGGTTCAGTGACTTCATTTGTAACTCAGTTTGCTCAGATCTTTTGTGGAATTGTTGTGTTCTTCAGTTGAGTGTAATTTCCATGAAGATAGAGACTGCCTGTTTTGCTCACTTTTTGTTGTTGTTGTTGTTGTTGTTGTTGTTGTTGTTGTTGTGGTACCTAGCATAGTACCTGGCATATTTAATTTACTCAAGGTGCTATCAGTGATTTGCATCACATTTGTTCATTTCTAATTTATAATGTGCATATAATCTAGTTACTAGCTAAAATAGTACAAGTTTTCAGTCATTCCAATCCTCTGTCTAGATTGTTGAGTGCCAAGAAATAGGGTATTGGGTAGGAGATACCTTCATTTAGTTGTTTAATGAGTGCTTGCTGTGTCTCTGTCATTAATCCTGCTCCCTGCTTTGCATTTCCTTCACATAGAAGTTGACCTGTGTATGTGCTTGGCCTCATATGCCCCAAACCTCTGTTCACCTCTTTCCTCCTGTACACTGGAAGGAGAAAGACATTTAGTTGTAGGTTAAAAATGATTTCTAACAAGTGATCCTTAAATAAACAAAATAAATGAGTATATCAAAATTAATTATGACATGCAATTAAGATTTCTTTGGGGAAAAACAATTGAGATTTTAAACATACTTGATTTGCAAACAATGGATCTGAACTACATTTTCCAAGTGCTTGGGGAAAAGATTCAACAACTGGACTCTATTTTAGAGATCTTGATGAAATTGGCCCAAGGTTGGGAATAAGATCTGGGCTCAGGCATTTTTCTTAAGAGATAAAGGAGAAGACCTTTGCATTCTATTTATTTGTATCAAATGATCAAACCATTATTAATGAGTCAGTATTTTCATACTAATTAGTGATACTGATTTTAAAACTAGTGTCCAGAGAAATTTAATGTCATTTTAAGAGCAGAAATCTATACGTTTGTGTACTTGACATTTTAAGACATCATTTCTCTAATTTTAATATAGGTAGTGTGCCCGAGTGGAGTCTAAGATTCTGAATTTCTGACAAGCTTCTGGTGATCCCCTGTTTCTGGGGCTGCTTGGACTCCACTTAGAGAGTACTGAGAATGCAGGGGACCACTGCTCCTGTTACACAGCTTAGTTTGTCATTAAGACTCAAGCTTAACCAATGGTAGGGTTCCCAGGCATTGCTCTATGAATGACACATTGTTCCTTCAGCTCCACACTTTTCTGGTGCTAAGCCAACTGAGGTCTTCGCATGATTCTGCTTTCTTTTCTGAGGTCTGAACTTGGTGACCCTTCATATTGGTTGCCTGAGCTTTCCTGATTTTGTAGGATACTTTTAGGCATAAGTGAGCAGTTTTAGTCAGCTTTTGTGTGTGTGTGTGTGTGTGTGTGTGTGTGTGTGTTGCTGTGACCAAAAGACCTGACAATAACAACTTTAGAGGAAGAAAAGTTTATTTTGGGCTCACAGATTCAGAGATCTCAGTCCATAGATGGCCAACTATTTTGCTCTGTTCTGGAGGGGAGGCATAACATCATGGCAGGAGGGCATGTCAGAGGGAAAAAGCTCAGCACATGACAATCAGGAAGCAGAGAGAGATTCTGCTCAACTAGAACACAATCTATGCCCCAAAATCATGCCCTCAGGGACCAATCTCCTTCAGCCACCTAGTTAATCTATTCACATGAATTAATGCACTGATTAGGTTAAAGCTCTCATAACCCAATTATTTCACCTCTGAAAGGTCTTGTATTGTCTCACACAGGAGCTTTTGGGGAACACCTCATATCTAAACCATAACATGAGCCTTAAAAAGAAAAAAATGATGTGATTGGGAGCTGTTCTTCTATAAACACTCACACATTCTGATTCACATTAATTATTCTAAAGAAAATAGGAGAAATAAACATAGTTTGCAAATAGTTTTGCTTTATGGTGGTACTTCTTGATTATAGATCATCCTTATATTTGCAAGACTGGAATAATAAAATTTGCCTTCGTGAGTGCATACTTTTAAAAGGCTGTCATTTCATTTTGGGGAATTTCAGATATAGATGGAATACTTTCCAGTTTATTTCTGATGGTGGTTAATAAACCTGTACATATTTTCATATACTTTTGAAAAACTAATTAAATCAGAGAAAGAGTGACTCCACTCAACCACTGGGCTACATCCCCAGCCATATTTTTTGTGTTTTCTTTAGAGACAGGGTCTCACTGAGTTGCTTAGAACCTTGCCATTGCTGAGACTGGCTTTGAACTTGCGATCCTTCCACCTCAGCCTCCCAAGTTACTGGGATTACAAGCATGCGCCACGGCACCTGACTGAAAGAGTGACTTAGTATTAATTCTGACTGAGCTTTGGTTAATGTAAACTTGTACAGTTCTTCCTTTTTTTTTTTTTAAATTTTTTGGGGTCTAGTTTGTATCTACTAATAAGCAAATGCACATAAAGTACCTTGAATTTTTTAAAAGAAAGGACAAGTGAAACTATTATTATTAAAATATCTATGGCTGATTATCAGTTTTCTTTATTTAGCAGTTAAAACCACTGCAAAAGTTTACCTAAGCCCTTGCCAGAAACCACTGGAAGCTTGCCTGTCGGGAGCTGACAGGCAATGTATAGCAGTGCTTAAAGAAGTGCTGGTGCTAGATACCTGTTCTAACCAAATGATCAACTAATAAACCCAGAGAATAATGTAGGTGGTACAATCCCTTACATTACACAAATTTTAGCATTCCCTAGTATACACCTTGTTCCAAGGTGATGCTTATATAGCCCTCCCCACCCTAATGTGACACCAAATATATCCCACATATATTTCCAAACACCCTCTGATAGATGTACTACTCCAATTTGAGAAATACTGAAGAGAGTGTCAACTAAAAGAGGAATTATACTTACGGCTTCAGGTTTGGTTTGGAGTTATGAAATAGATTTCTCTCTCCCTTTGGATGATTAAAATATTCATTGATTAAGGCAAAAGACCAGGCAGGTATGGGGATTAGAGATGGTGCTAATTTCCCCTGATTTATGTATGCTTCAAAATCCCGTCTAGCCTGCTGCATATGTCTTAGAGACAAAACCTTTTTCTACCTCTACTGGTCACAGGTGATTTCCTTGATGCCCTCCCTCTGAGGACTTTCAGGTTATTAGTCTTGAGAAGCTCCCTGTGAATCACACATTTCTGATTATGAAAATCTACCACCCAACTTCACTTCGGTTGTGGATGATAGTTAGCTACTCATCAAAATGAATTAGAAGTCAATGTTTTCATCAACTGAAGGGTAATTATATTAACTGTTAATCATTGGGGACATAAAAACTCTTGCAAGAATGAACTTTTTTGTTCTCAAGTCACACTTTATTAAACAGCAGAATAATTAACAGTAACCCCTCCTAATGTCCTTACTTTCTCCCTGCTCAGATGGATCCAAATAGACTATCTGAAGATGGCACTCACTGCATTTATAGAATTTTGAGACTCCACGAAAATGCAGACTTGCAAGACACAACTTTGGAGAATGAAGACACAAAATTAATACCTGATTCGTGTAGGAGAATTAAACAGGCCTTTCAAGGAGCCGTGCAAAAGGTAAGTCCACACTGAGGTTAATAAGTTAAGGGCCCTTGCTGATTCTACAATTAGCAAATATTAAAAACTTGCCAAGTGCTATTGACTCTGTTCTTTTTATTTTAGTGATTTGTAAAAGAGTTAAAGAGAATGTTTTAAAGAGATTAGCAGAATTCTTTCAAAGTGGTAGTGGTTAATTATGGCATACAGAGACATTCATGCAAAATTCTTTTCTTTCCTTTCTATTTAAGAGGAGGGATTTAAATTTGTACTTGGAAAGAGCACAAAGGTGCCCTGTGGTTGCTAGTTTGAATTCCTGAAGATAGAAACCATTCCCCAGATTCACAGGATTTCCTGGTAGCTATTTCCTTTACATTAATTTTGAAATGGTAGGATCCCCTCTTCTATATCTGAGATCCGGGGCTCTGATGAAAAGCAATTGTAACTGGGCCTTTGTTGTCATGCATGTGAGGAGATAAGCATGCACAGCAGAAAATGATGTGGTGGTACAAATGGAAATTCTGTCTGTTTCTTCATTTTATGGGACTGATGGACAACAAGAGAGATGGGGACAGAGAAGACCAATGGTTTCTGTTACACCAACAGCTTCAATTGAGAAATACTATAAKAGCTGCCTGTTTTATTTCCTAGAAAAAAACCACCTAAGAATTCTGTAGCTCAGAATTATTTTACCTACTGGTTCCACCAAAAACTGGGTAGAACCCAAATAGTGACTTCTATGTGAAAAACAACAACAATAACAACAAAAGAATGTGTATTGCTTTTCGGCACCACATCTGCATCCATCTATACATCCCAACTTCTATTTTGCAACTGCCTGGATTATTTCTTATCATCTCAGAGTAAATTCTGGAGTCCTCAAAACCTTTAAATCTAAATATAATTGTAGTTTATTTTTAAAAAATCCATATACAGCAATAGCATACTTTTATGAGTGTATCTATCAATCAGAGTAAAGGTAGGGAGATGAAGCTGTTTTTGGTAAAACTAACTAACAGAGGTAAATGTCTATAACCCACGTAGAGTTTAGGTTTGCTTTGGATTTTATCAAATTTAAGATACCACCTACTTTCAGCTTCTTCTTTATTTCATGCTAACTAAGAACGAAAAGATATTGATTAAAAAATTGAACACGATCATCATAGATTCTAGTTGTATCTTAATTTCAGGAATATTATACTGTAGAAAATGTGTATCTTAGAATAACATACATATTCTGATATGTATAAAAAGTATGTTGCTTATGAAAATTAGTTTTTCATTATAATTAGTAAGTGCTTAACTTTATGCAATAGATGTATAAAATCTGGTTTAATTTCATTGTTCTTTTTGTCTTACCTTATAATTTTTGAGCTACAGCAATAGCAATTCTGCTAATCTATTCATTTTCATTGTTATGTTTCATGTCATTAGTTTATTTTTTACTCTGTGAAGCTTCTCTCTCAAATACTGGGTGATCAATCTACAGACAGCTATATACATATACTAGGAATAATCTCTCTCTTTTTATCCAGGGGGAGTACAGGGGATTGACCTCAGGGGTACTCAATCACTGAGCCACATCCTCAGCCCTGTTTTGTATTATATTTAGAGACTTGGTCTCAACTGAGTTGCTTAGTGCCTCGCAGTTGGTGAGGCTGGCTCTGAACTAGAGATCCTCCTGTCTCAGTCTCGAGCCACTGGGATTACAGGTGTGGGCCACCATGCCGGGCAGGAATAATCTTTAATTGAAAGCTGAATACCTTATTCAAATGATTTTAGTTAGGTAAGTTATTGTGTCTTAATTTTCTGTTTATATCAACCCATATTTTATCTCCTAAAAACAAAGAGATAAACTTTTAATTTCCTTGATGCTCTTGTTCCTAAAAAAGTATCTTTTTAGTTTATTATGGAAGAAATAGTATTCAAGACCAGCCAACATAATTTTGGAAATAAATAATATTAAGAGTAGATACCATGAACATTTACTATAAGAATCCAAGAATGTATCTTAACAATAGGTCAAAGAAGAAAAATATGTTATTTCCTAGAGCCTGAGATGTGACTGAAAACATTTCGCATCTATTCCATTAGAAAATACAGTTAGATGGATTCTTGATGTTTCAGAAATATCTCAAACTGCAAGTTAGCTAAGGATGAAAATTAGGAGTATTTATCTTAAATCGAGGAACACAAGAAGGAGGCACACTGTCCCCACAATATTTAACATTGTTTCTGGAGGTGCTAGGAAATGCAATTATAACAAACAGTAAAATAAGAAAATAGAAGAGAGGAGAAGGCATATTTTGCATGTGGCATGATAATGTACTTAGGAAAATTCAAATGTAACTGAAAGGCTACAGGCAAAACAAAACAAATCTGTTTATAAGAATGAATAAGTAATAATCACTAGTTGTCCCATTTTCCAACAATAATTAGAAAATACGAATTAACAATTCCATAGGTAATTTGTAAAATAAATGCCCTAAAAATAAATGTAATAAGAAACGTACAAAGCCTATATAAATAAAACTAGAAAACTCTACAGAGACATTTAAAATAGAATTAGATAATATACAGACATAACTRTGTATAGGCATAGTAATTATTGCAGTATATCTTGGGTAAAGGATAGCAGACAAATTCATAGAAAAGAACAAACACCTTCGAGTAGATCTTATTGTGTATCTGTATATGTGGGTGTTGGTGTGTATATAATTTAGTATATAATTGTATTTCATAAGTGGACATAGTTTAGATATTAAAAAGTGGGATTGGAACAATATGTTTACTTTTTAAAAAAAATTTTAGCCTTTCATCATGTCCTAAGGGAAGGCAAATCCAGACCATCTGATGGCTCTCTAACATTCTCTGTTGTTTATGGAATTTTCTTCCACTACCTGCCCCATCAGAACTTATCAATTTCCTTCAAGATTTCTGAGTGACTGCTTAGATAGTATAAAAAGCCAACTTGTACTTAAAGGTGTTTATAAGCAAAAAATGGCAGAATTTTTACTATTTTGGGAGGCTTTTGGAGTTATGTTTCAGTATTCCAAATGAGTAACATTAATTATGAGCGATTCAGCACCCAGAAAACCAGAAGGACAAAGATTTGGGGGCAGGCAAAATTAATCAACTTCTTTTGTTATTGTTTTAATTATAGTAATAGGTTATTAAGACTAACAGGATGAGTAGAACTTTATTTCATTTATTTCGCATTTGTTTTTGTTGTGCCATTGAATTTTAACTTTTTCACATAGATAATAATATACACAGCAATCCTTTTAAAAACTGCTATAATATACTAATGCATATTGGTGTAATGTGCAAATTATAATAAACCAATGTGTACTGGATATAAGATACCATTTCTTTTCCCTAGACCAGGGAAGAGATGAGTGCTATCCATATCTTATCATTAAAATCAACCAGCATCTGTTAAGTATACATGCTGTTCCAGGCAGGATGCCACACCTTTTCTTATATATATATCCAAGGTTTTACTTTTCTCTTATCCTAGCCAAATTAATTATATGTCAAATGAATTATCCTTTGATGAGGATTATTGGTTAATATGATATTCTGCACAACTTGCCAATATAATCAGATTTCTTATTTCTCTTCACACTGCTAAAAATAGGATGATGTATTAGGCATTTATTAGTAGGTTTGTAACTTACTCTTAGTTCTAACTTAGATATCAAGTGAACCCGTAAAGCAAAATTACATGTGTGGCTGCAATCATTATTGAGAGATCAACCAACCCATCCAGTGGTAACAAATACCAGACATAAGCACAATATCACATTATATGTGTGCAAAAAGTGGTGTTTACCCAGCCTGTCTTTGGTCAGACAAGTAATGCAGTTTTTTTCCTCTTTTTTTGTTTGTGGCTGGGTTTTCTTGGCTTTTCCCCCCCATTTAGCACAGAGCTCTGAGAGCCTCTCAGTGATCCAATTCTACCAACCACAGTTTATAAAGTCTGTCATAACAGTCTATGACAATAAAGAAAACACTGGTATAAATAATGGTGTCTGATTTGTAAAGCGATTCTTGTTTTCAGTTTTGGCAGCCTCCTTGGCCTCTGCTAGCCACGGAGGGGGTGGGGAGAGTGGTGAGCTCAGGCCTTAATGAGGACTGCCCTGCGTGGCAAGGAGGGCACTAGGCCCTCCTACCTCCTGGCCAGTCTCCGTGGAGAGCCATCTGTTTATGTGCTAACTATACATTCTGTGCCCTCCGGTGAGGCCCTGACTCTGCCTGACTTTAGTGTGCCAGGTTGTTGATTGCACATTGGCTTGTTTCTGAAAAACTCTCTGAACTTTAACAAAAATATTTGAAAGAATGATGTGAAGAAGATCAATATACAGGTGACACAAATCACCTTGCTCTCCAAAGTGAGAAGTCCAATGAATTCAAGATTATCTCCTAGGAGGTAGAGAGGAAGCATGAACACTTATCAGTATATTTATTATTTGGTATTAGCTTTTAAAAGATGGGTGTTAGATGGTGAATATTTTGTGATGTGCATAATATCCAGGAGTGTTTTTATTTAATATTTTAAGTGAATATCTATGTATATTTGGGAGCATTAAAATATTTTCCCCGGTTGGAGCTAAATCATTAGAAATGTTTGGTGACTATGGAACAAAACTTCAAGATCCATCAGGACACAGCTCTAGTCAGTTTGCACACATTTGGATACATTGTCCGTAATGTATTTTCAGGAGTGAACTTAAATAAGAACAGGTAAGTGATGGATGACTTATTGAACTTCAGAAAGGAATAGTTTTGAATGAATGAGGACTTCTACCAACTCATCAACTCATAAAGCCATTCAAGAATGTTATAAACCTGGTTCTTACCCGATGCTTCATCAGAGCTAAAACTGATAACTATGAATATCATAGGCCAAGGTAGTAATGCTTCATACAGTCATAAAACAGGTTAATTTATGTTAGATGCTGTATCCAGCTGGACTTGTTATTTGATCCACATTCTTCTCAGGTCTGCTCACCTCTCCT